TGAGGACAACAGAGAGAGAGAGAGAGAGAGAGAGAGCGAGAGCGAGAGAGAGAGAGAGAGAGAGCCCCCAGTTATTAATGAACCGGAGTTGGTGTCGAACGTAGCGCTACTCAAATCAAGCCAAAGGCACCATCTTGACCAACACATCTTGACAAAAACTCAAGCCCCCGACTGAGGCAATCAGTTTGGGGCCTGGCCAAGAAAGCCTGGTGCTGCGAGCGGATCAAGATAGGAGCGGGTCGTGGCCGCGGAGTGACATGAATTCACTCGTGTCCAAAGTGAATCTACCTCTGTTTCGCCCTTCTGAGGTTCACTTTCAGTGTGCCAAAAGCTGATAAGTTGAGTTGTTGTTCCCTGTTTCTTGATTCGGCGAGGGAAATCTCCAATGAGCATGGCATGGTTCTTTGCTCAAGGTCGCGATGTGCTGTTCTGGCTTGCCAAGGTTGGGATGAGCCCAGAACTGATCAATGGACAAGTTTCAGATGACGTGCTTCCCAATTGAAAGGTGAGCGGAAACTGAGAAGGTGTCCTGCTTTGCCGCCTCCCCATAGTTTGTTATTTTTGTGTGCAGGCGATGTGGTTCTCTGGGAGTGGGAGTGGTTGCGCTTCGGAGAGTCCACGAGCTCTTCGGGGAAATTTCTGATGTGCCGGTACTCATACAACCTCGATACATCTATCCACTTGTGCATCTACCATGACTAAACATATATTTCAAGTTATGTACCTCACCTTTGCAACCTGACACGCATGTCTTCATGTCTACTCATTAATGCATGTCTTCTCGCTGCCTTGCCTCATTAATGCATGTCTTCTCCATGCGTTTTTCTTTGGTTGTGCGCACAGCATTCGAGTCAGAGGTTTCAACTCGAGTCCTTGTTGTCAAGTGGAGCTGGCCTTTGGCGTTTGCTCAGACCTGTGAGATGCATTGAATTCGTAGACCACAACCTGTGCAGTCCCAAGGGTGTCCCTGGTTTGGGTTCAAAATTGCTGCTCGACGTGTTTGTATTTTATCAAATCCGCAGTTGGCACAACTGGGTGGTTTCTTCAAACTGGCGGTTTCCTTCCAACTTGACAGTTAATCGAACATGTTGATGGGACTTTTCAGCTTGTTAACCGCACGTTTGATCTAACGTGTCGTTTTCCCCGCCCTTTCTGGTTTGTTGGTTCGGGTGAGACCGCCTTGTTCTTTGGGCTCCGCGGGTCGCGAGGCTGCCCGGAGACCACTGCTGCGCCCTTCAGCTGCCAGGGGCCTTCCGGGGACTGGACCTCTGAGAGGCGGTCCTGGCGCCTCGGATGGACCTCCCGACTGGGAGGTTAGCTATCCCAGTAAGCCTTGCGGATGGGACAATGGGGTCCCTTTAAAGAAGATGTGTATGTCACATATGTCATGTCTAGACATAACCCTATGTGTCTTCTTTTTCTTCCTCTTTTGTTTCGCGACGGGGGGGGAGATAGGGTTGGAACAATGGCCAGCCCTTCTGGAGTCACTATGTCTTTGTGAGAACAGGGCTGGTTTGACAATCACTTCACCAAATTGATTGTTAGACCTCGCCTCAGCCATTTAGCTTTAAAAAGGGGGGCTCATCCTAAGCTCTCCCCAGCTCAAAGGTCAAAGGCAAAATCCATTTTGCAAGTTGTTCCCAAAAGTGAGGGCAATCAGTCACACAAAGGGGGGGGGTGCTCACAAGAGCCCCTGATCCTCATTAGTGTGACTGTTTTGGCGTCCTCTTTAGTGCCCGACTGGTTTTGGGGGTTGCTGAAAACTGAAAACCAAAGCCTCAGCCTTTTAGTTTTAAAGGAGGGTCCTCATCCTAAGCTCTCCCCAACTCAAAGGTTAAAAGCCTGAGTACTAGAAATCTGAGAGGGGGCCTTGGCAATACTAAAGTAAGTACTTCCCTCCCAGGATTTTCACTAAAGAGGGTCCAGCTGACTGGTTCCAGTGTTCAGGGAAGGGGGGTCTATGTAAAGAGGGTCCAACATTCGTCTGTTTCTGGTTTGGAGAGGCACTTGGGTCCGTGGTCCCTGTCACGAATCTGTGGGACGTGTGCGGCCTGAGGTGCTGCGAGAACCAGAAGTTGGGCTGCCCCCAGGATGTCTTCGATTGTTCTGCCGGTCTTAAGGACTGGAAGAACGGCTGGTCCCATGCCCCTTGGGCCCTGAGCCTGGGGCTTTGACCGAAACACCCCGAGCATTCACCGGGCAAAGCGTTTGGGCTCGACTTGGGTTTTTCAAGCCGGGAAAGGGGATAACCGGCATTTTCTGGATTTAACTTTGAGAAACTTGCGACTGGAAGAGGAACTTCCGAAGAGGATTGGGTGGACGCTGGAGAAAGACCTCCAACCATCTGACGCACACCTATTAACTGTCACCCAACTAAAAACCAACAGCCATCAGTGGGTGACAGCCAGCAAAACACAGCCAGCTGGCAACAATCAACTGGCACCCAAGCAAAAAGGCACCGGGGTGGTAGAAAGCTGCAATGTATCCTTGTGTTTCAATTGTCAATGAGGAGGTGATTGCGGGGTGGCATGCGGCAGAGTCAAGCTCGCAACTGATCTTTTGCGCTGTCAATGTAGTAGAGAATTGAATCGCTCTTTATAAAGCTGGAAGTCCACAGGATATCGGCTACAGGATCTGTGGAATACTCGTTCGCCAAGCTTCTCAAAGGGATCCCAAGCCTTTCGTTTTGCTCAATATCGTCAACCAGCCTTTGCAAGGAGCAGGGCCCCAAGCAAATACGTGACAGTGCAACTCGGGTTCATGCTGATCTCCAAGTCAGTGAATTGAAGAGCTGACACACACACATCCATTGTACAAATGCAACATGGCTACGCGCAAGCAAGCAACCACTGTGTCTAAATTAGCACGACAAGAATTGTCCGAGCTCAGGCTGCCAAATCAGTGGAACCGCAAGATGATTTCCGCTGGAATGCACACATAATTGCCATGGGACAGAGAAACACATTGAGGCTTGCCTCCAACTGCAACACCCTGCGAGCAACCGCCAATTCACAAGAGCGGACTCCCGGTGTACTTGTGGCTCACAAGTCATATCAAGTTTTGAAAAAGATGTGCACCCAAAGGAAACGGGCTGAAGCCTATCCGAAGAGGAGGCCAACCTAAGAACAAACGGATTGGGTCAGGCTTAGCACCAGAAGGTCCTGCGGACTCCAAAAGTCCGCAATCCGGGCCGACGAGCGGAGAAACATTGGAGGCCCGAACCTGCAATTGGGTGACACCAGAGGACCGACTTCTGGGTTGTGTTCAAATGCCCTAGGTTTCATCTAAGGATTGGACATGAACCCCATGGACCCAGAGAATTCCACCTGGTCAAGGCACTTGTTATTGTGCCTGAAGTTCAAGTTCTTGTGCGGGCTGTCTAGCCCTGGAATCAAACTGTTCCTTCTTGCTTTCAACAAGTTCAAGCAAGACAACTGTTGTCCCTTTATTCAGCGCGCCGATTTGTTGCTTCAATGGCTTGAGGCCAAGAAGCAGTGGTGCTGCGAGACCTTCCAGAGTGGCTGTGAATGAGACTCTCGGCCACTTGGCCTTTCGGGTTGGTACCGGGTGCATATCTTGGCGGTTTCGGTTTGGTTCTATTCGTGGACTTCCTTCAGTGCCACAAGCACGCCTGGGTCTGGAATGCAGTACTTGGCGCATGTTTACCGTATCTTTCCCCACTGAAATCTGAAATTGATGCATCAGAACTGATGTCCAACGGTCCACGATGTCCATTCACTGTACCACCTTGACAAGAGGCACATGATCTTGCTTGCCTGGTCTCATGGCGAACAACTACCCTAGTAGGGCGGATCAGCATTTTGGATCGGCGTTGCCCGTGGTCGGTGGTGGTCGCTTGATTTGTGCCGGCCTCGAAGCTGCCACAAGCTCTGGTTTAACCCTGCCCTACAAGCCCAGGCTTCTCACTGCAAAGCTCGCAATGTTGTTGTTTAGCAACAAACTGCAGGAGTGACGTTTCCAAAAAAAGGGAACTGAGCCTCGTTTCGGTCTCCTTTTGGCTTCCCTCTGGCAAGAATCCAAGCAGCCGTCCCGATTCTGGAACACCTCCCACGTGTCTGCAAGCAAAATTCTCTCCAGCTTGTTTGGTCCATTTCTGGCGTCAACCTACTTGTGGCGCGGCAAAGACTGCAGGACAGCGGGCAACATGAGTATTTTTTGGATGGAGGACATCTTGATTGACTCAAATCCTGGATACTGGTGCCTCACCTTCAAGGTGAAATCCTTTCGACATCCACACCCATCTCTTGCGAGAATCGCCCAAGCTCGGGATCTGAGGTGATGCCCTGAGGGCACCTTCCGTGAGTTGGGTGCAAATCCGCCTGGGAGTATGGTGAGTATGGTGCCTCAGATTTTTCCCAGCCACGAAGGTCCCGGTTCATCCTTCACCAAAGTGGGAATTCATGTGGACCCGGTTCAGGCAGCAGATGGGATGCGGGTGCTGAGCTTGAGCTCAAATCAGAAGCTTGTCCCGAATGCGCCAGCGTTTCTTGAGGATGGCCCCATGTGCAGGGCAGCTTTTCCCAGGATGTCAGCGGTGGATTTGGGCGAAGTTTCCCAGGCGGAAGGCAGCCAAGACTGGTGCAAGTTGAGCCTAAAGCTGGCCAGCCGCGCGAAGATCAAAAGCGAGCCGGGAACGGGAGGTTTTTTCAGTTAGAAGAACTGAACAACACCAAAACTAGAACTGGGAACCGGGCCATTCTGAGACAGTTTTCGGCGTTGGGGTATTCTCGTTGTTGCGAAGTTTCGTGAATCTTATGGTAGCCATTTGTTTTGATTTTCTTCAGATATCATCGCCTGTCCTAAACAACTGGCACAAGCCGACCTTTCCACGTCTTGAATATGTGGCCCCACCTTGACCTTTGGCCTTGTCCTTGTGACAGGTTCGGTCAAAAGTTGCAACGGCTTGAGGCGACGCGCTAATTTGCCCGTGTCCATTGCGGTCCATTTCTGTAGCGGTGGCTTACTTTCCCGGTGCCCAGGGAAGTTGCCAGATCTGCGCTGAGCCGAGAGGAGCTTCAAGTGGCAAGTGGGACGATCTGCGACAGACCGAGGGTATGTCGACCCCAGACTAGTCAACCTGGCGGATTCCTAGGGCGATGTTCCGCAAAAGAGTGGCGGGTTTACTTGTAAATGGGAGACCCCCTTTCACTAATAATAGTGAGAACACAAAATTGATATGCTCTAGGTTGACTGCCCCATTCCAGAGGGGATTTTTCATTCTGAGGGCAATCAATGCAACAGGTTGACCAGTCTGGGGCCATTGACCAGTAGGTAAGCCACAATCAAACTAAAATAAGCTTAAGGGGACAGTCGCAACCATTGTTTCGGCGTTCGCTTTTTTGGAATTCTTTACGTGGTTTTGGGTAAGCCTTTTTAAAGGAGCATACGCAACGGGCCCTGGAGCAATGAGAACCTTTACTCAATGAGCATCCATCTGGGGCCCCAATTTGGGGATGCGAGTTGATACGCCATGAGCGATGGGGCCATTTTGAATTTTGCCTTCGCTTTCAAGGTTTGACATTCAGCAGCGCAGCTTTCGGGCTTGGGTTTGCGCTTAAGTTGCTGCATTAAAAGGCTCAGAGTGTGAAGTTTGGGCTTTGAGAAGCTTCCCATGGAGCGATGAGACAGCAATTTGGTTCGCGCAGCATATCACATGAAAACAGCCAATGGCAGACGCACGACGAAGTGTTGGCACCCGCGCACTTCGAAGCCCTCGAACTTTTCTTTCCTTGGGGCTCGTTGTGCATAGCCCCCTTGCAGTCCTTCTCGTTTAGCTGGGATTCCGTTTAGTTTCTTGCTGTGGGATGGCTTTTTCCTGCTCGCAGCTCGGCGTTCTCTGGGATCGCTTGAACCCGGTTTCGGGAGATTTAGAGGCCTCCTGTACACATGGGTCCCGCCCTTATGCCAATTCTATATTGGTCCCAAGATGTTACATACAGGGTCTCTGAAAGGATACTTTTGGGCCACTAACAAAAATCATCCTTGCAAACTGAGTTAGAGGAACCCTTTGTAAAGCAGGCTGTTTTTGGTTGTATCCTTGAAGGAACCCTGAGCATGGTGACAACGGCGGCTCTGGCAGGACGGCGCGCACTCAGAGCACATCTCACCAGGTCTCACCGGGTCTCACTCAGCCGGAGCCGAAGCGCAACCAAGGGGACAAAGGACCAACAGTCGACAAGCAGGTTTCTGCCGCATTTGACGCACATATTGGGGGAACAGGCTGATTTTTGCACCAGCCTTTGGTAAAATGATTAGCTTGGAACTCACATTTCAGCAGCTTCCTTCGGTAGGTCTCACGCGGTGCCTGAAGCCCTAGGCTTGCGGGCGCGCTAAAAGTGGCTAACGCAGCGCTCTCTCAGCATGGAAGCCCGCAGGCCTCCTTTAGACACTGGTCGTTAGTCTTCCAAATGGGGCCTGTGCAGTTCCATTTGGCAAAGCGGAAACAGACTCGAACATGGGAGAGTTACCCATGCAATGCCACATCACTTGGCGGAGAACCCACTCCACCGAGGCAGGTCCAGGTGGTGAGGGTTGCTTTTGCCGGCTGCTTTATCAAGGAATCCAGTTTGCAAGAGGCCGATTCACAAATTCACAGGCGTCGATCCTGCATAATTTACAATGTTGCCCAACATTATCCCGGGCATCCATCAGTTCCTGGACTTTTGTCATGTCTTAGAGGGCTTTCATTTCACAGCTCCCAAAACCACTACTAAGGGAAACAAAGGGTATAGAGTCTTGTGGTGAAATAGTGGTTGTATAAACTATTGTCCCTTGGCTAATCACTTGCGGGCGGCGGAACCGCTCTTGGACCAGGCAGGTCAACCCAAACCTGCTGCATCCCCCCGCCCCGCCTCCTCCGGCATCCTGGCTCCCCCTTGCGGTGCCAGCCCAGTGTGGGCATCGATCTGATGTAGGATATCTTTCCCTTACAAGAAGTTTGACAACTTTCAAGTTGTTTGAATACGTTTGAGCAGTAGGACATTGGGTACTTCAATTTGATCACCAGCGCCCCTCTCTTATGCGTGAGGACTTGTGAACCCAACTTGCTCCTTGTCCCTCGGGCCCGAGCATGTCATTGGTGCGTCCCCACCGCCCCGAATGCACGTTTTAGTGTTTCGGCTCAACATTTCAACGCGCAAGTAACGCGGGGTGACGCCGACGAACTGCACACATACTCCTCACAGCCACCCGCACCCCGAATTCAGCCGTTCCAACCAAGCTGGTCTCAACCTTGCACATTTGGCAGGCTTAGGAAGTTTTTCGCGCGCAGATCGCCTTTTGTGAGGCGGGCTCCAGAGTGAGCGATGTGGGCGAAACTGCGACCGATGTTTCTAACCGACAGATGGGACAAAGAACAAGTCAGCAAAATGGCAATTGGCAGGATGATGCGCCGTGCAATCGCCCGGGGCTCAGGACCGAAGCAGGCAGCAAGGTGCGCAGGATCCTCTTCTCCCAATGGGTTGCCTTAACAAAAGGCCCCGAGTCACGCCTCCTCACGAAATCTTACCTGTTGAAAACATGGAGATCTGGGGACGAGTTGGGAGCTACCATGGCTGACCATTCAGAATCGCAGATCTGTTTGCGGAGTCTCTGCCATGGCCGGAACACCCTGGCAGAGTTGGGATTTGGCTGGTGGCTCATTTGTAGGGCACGACTCCAATCGTGACCTCTTGGGGTCGAAAATGATGGTCAAGCCTTGAAGATGCATTCAAAGTTCAAATGGACACCCCATAGCATGATGGCGTTCCTTTGGCTTTCCCCAAGATTTTCACAGAAAAAGGGCAGATCCATAGAGGGATCCTTTCTTTTCCAAGTGGAAAAGGCGTTGGCGCGGCTTGCGGGCTTTTGGGCCTAGAAAGCTCGGCCGCCTTGAGATGGCCATGTGGTTCCTTTCGTTTTTGAGGTATCTCCTTTTGCGGTGAAACTGGGTCTGTAAACGCGAACATTTTGAGGCGATGGGGCTCTCAATATTTGCTCTAATCAAACCCTGGGTAGTTGGAAGGCTACATGGCTTTAGATGCCAGGCTTTGATTGCAACTCTGGGTACACGATTTGCGCGAGTGGTGCGAGCTTTCCATCGATCGCGGAGCTCCTCTGGCTCCTTTTCGTTGAACACTGTCCAGAACATGTTTTGAGGTTTTGGGCCAAGCGTCTATCACCCAAGTTGTTCTTCATGAAAGGGGGAAGACTCACTTGGCATTTATCGCAGTGGAGGTATCACGAGTGGGCTGGCACTGTTAGTCAATCGCCCAATGCAGCTCGGGCACAACAGGGAGGAGAAAGCCGATCTTCTCATCGCACTGTTCTTTGGCGTAGCGTAGCCCGTTTGTCAGGATACATTCCAGGGTTTGGGCTTTTTGTGACCAGGGAAAGCCCTGAGATCCTATCTCCGGCGCTGGAATGAGAAGCGAGCTTTGAACTCTGGGCTTTGGGGTGTCCCGAAATTGAACATTGACCTTTTGTATGGCGTTGAATCGTTGAATCGTAACGGGAGCAGCACACCCAGCGTCTCCGGCCTTCGCTCGCTCCCAGGTCCTAAGGCGCGTGTCAAGGCCCTCGGGGCACGGTACCTCGCGGGCGCAAGGGTCTAACGGAGGAGCCTCCAGCATAGGTGGTTTTGCCAGGAGTTTACCTCAAAAGAAGCCCAAACAAATCCAAAAGGAGCGATCGAGGCTGGGCCTGGCATTTTTTCTGTGGTGAATGAGGCAAGTAGGTGATTGGGAATAGAACGTTGGAACTTAAGACTGGCAGGAAGTTCCCTTTCAAACAAAAATACTGTACCCATTGCCTTGCTTCCGTTAAGGGAAATCAACATCCGTTTGAACACAACCCTGGTCACCCTGCTTGCTGGAGCGTCTCGACCCTCCTTCAACTGTCCACAAACATATGGCACGATGGAGAATCCTTGTTGCCTAGCCGCATCAAGCACATCTGGGGCTGTCATTTGCACTGGAAATACTTCCATCCTGTGGTGGAGCTAGTAAGCGGAATCGAGAGAGAAAAAAGCGTTTCAAGGGTCTCCCACTTTGACAAGGCCGCTGAGGAATTTTTCGGACTTGCCATGACAAGCATGGGCGTCCAAGTCAAATTGAAGAGGGTCGGGACCACTGAGGGACTAGACCAGGTTGTTTACGCTAAATCAAGACACCATGCGGCAACAGCTTAGCGAACAATTCAAAGAGGTTCCTGGCAAAGTCGAGTTGATATAAATGGCCAAAAGGTGATGTTTGAGCTGTCAAAGCCTTCAAGCAAGGGGCTGGTGCTTGGATGGGATTTGTCTCGCAAGGTGCCGCCACTTCGCCTCGGTGCCGAAGGTACCGGCTGGTGTGGAGTCTCGGGAGATAGGGCCGTGTGTGCCCTTAGAGGTTCACGCCTTTTTTTGTTGGGGGGGAGGATTGCCGCGGGAGGATTGCCTACTTTGGAGAAAACTCCAGTTGTGCCAAGACAATGTTGGTAAGCTTGTTAGTCAAACCTGAGATGTTTGGCCTCATGGAAGTTGTCATGGACTCCTATTGCTTCCTCGTGGTTTGCATTGACGGCAAAATGAGCTTACCGACAAAAGTCTCTTGGAGTTCAACAAAGGAGATGGTTGAAGACAAATGGCATCGTTATCCAGGCGGAACTTGAATCGGATATCTGTGAGTATGTGTGAATCGTCGTATATGCTGCAGACAGCAGAACTGCACACAGGCGAAAATAATTAAGAGGGGTTGATGGTCGGATGGCCATTCCATTCAACTCAAAGTCTCAAAGTCACCACATCATTTTACCGGGCATACAAGAAAATTCAATAACATGGAAGGGCCAAAGGGAAGGGTGGAGACTTGGAGGCAGATCTGCTTAGCTCCGGATTTGAAATTCAAAGTTGACTGCTTCGGGGCATTCAAAGGTTTCGGGGCATCTTGCATGGTCGTTGTTGGGAAACATTTTACATTTTTGCTTATTGTGGTTTAGTGGGAAATCCCAACTTAGCTGCGCAAGAGTATTTTTTTGTTGCTCCCCTTCCAACGTCAACCGAGCTTGGAAGCAAGGAGGCTGCCGGAGCAGCGCTCTCTGTTACTCAGCCGTGGCTTGGCATGTGTGGAGCATTCGGGCATCGGGCCCAGCGAACTGCAAGACAGCTTCGACGTCTCTGCTCGCAGCTTGGTGTCTCAGCAAGCCGATCTGCAGCCTTTTTACTTCGCAGACCCCGCGGTCGGTGTTGACGCATGTCGTTTGGGTGGTTGGCATATGCTTCGTGACATTGAGCTGGAGGCGTGGCTGGGGATGAGCAGATGGATGGCTGATCCTCGTTCACAAAACAGCGTCAGATGGAACTGCACTGCGCGTGCCGCATGCAGTAGCAGGCTTTGTGCCCCTGGCACTTGGCTAGACCGACAAGCTCAAAAACAAGCTGGGCGTCTCTTCAGTCCTCTCTTTTAGATGGGCGAGGGTAGGTTCTTTCCAAGCAGGACATGATCGGTTGCATTCGACAGGTTCTTGCAATGGCCGGCAATGGCCGGCTTGCCAATCACTCGGCCAGACGAGTCCGGGCACTCAGCACCACTATGGTGGCCACTGTCTCCGCGTTAGTGGGGCGCAGTTCATGACTTCCTTGGGCTTGGGTGAGCCGCTGACCCGCCACCTTGGAGAAATGCAACAAAAAGGGGAATCTGAACAATCTTCTGCGTATGTTTGTTGCACATAGCCTGCAGTGAAGCCAGGCATTCCCTAGTCTGTGGAAAAAAGTCAGCCAATGTCAGCCACCAACTTGTCCAAATCTTGGAGAACAGACTCTCTGACAGCAATCGCTGACGGGCCCAAACTGAACCAAGGCAACAGTGATGCCTGAGCCAGAGGGCGCAAACAATGTTCAGAAAGCGACCAACGCGACTCCAAGTCAAAGGCAGGCTGCGCGCGCACAGGCCATGCCGAAGCACGTTCCAAGGATATTTGGTTGTTTTGGGCCACGCCAAATCCGGGTCCGCTTGGACTCCTGCTGGTCCGATGCCGATTGCGCCCTTTGCGTCCAAAATCAAGGACCACGTGCATCATAGCTTTTCTCCACCCCGGCACGCCAACTGTTGCCCACCAGGTGTTTGCGTGTGACGTCTTGTGCCATGGACAAACCTGCAAGTAAGTGATGCGCCTGCTCCTTGACCTCTGCGGTCAACAACTGGAAGGCGCCTTGAGCATCGATCATCACACTTTCTTCCTTGCCCGAGGAATTTGGCAACTGGTGGGTTGATCCTTGCCCACGGGCAACATGGGCAGATGCAATTTGCCAAGAACTTGAGCAACTGGAGAGGCGGACCGTTGAAAGGACTACGGCAGCAAGCGTTCTTGCCTGCCACAGTGCCGCTGCGCTGACTCGCGCCTAAGCAAGGCGGCACAGCAGTGACCAATTTATCAGGGCGCTGGCCTCTGGGTCCATTTGCCGAATGACTTATGCCACCGCACTGACATGTGGATCGATTCACCGCTCTGCTGTTTACCAAACCCGACTCCGGAGGAGCGCAGGGAACATAGAAGTGAGCAGTGACGATTGAACAGGTCGCAGGGACCCCAAGACGGTTGGGAGGTCGGCAAACTGTCACCTGTAAACCAGGTACTGGAGAGATAGGCAATTCCTACGCTTCAATGAGGGATGACAAGTTACCGCCCAGGTTCTCCCGAGGCCTGGCGAGAGGACAAAGATAAGTACAAAGACCTTCACAAGTCCATCCGACATGTCAATGTGCCGTGCGGGTGGGTCGTTTTTTGGGACTTGCTTTTGCCTCCTTTACTGGTTTTGAAGAAACCAACAGGAAGCCAACTGTTTTGGGCCCCCTCAGTTTGAGACAAACATTCCCGCCGTCACGTCCTCGAGCTCGTTTTGGTAAGACAGACAAGAGCACATGATTTTCTTTGAGTGATAGTATTAAGTGGGAGGCACCCGTGGACTCGCGAGGCTTGGGTAGTATAATATTATATTGTATGTTAAACATCGACGTGGAGGATTGCAAAACCGGTTTCAAGAGATGTGTTTGCATGTCACCCTTGCTGAAGGTGGGTTATAGAGTGTTTGCTTGTGCCATGAACACAAGAAAGGTGTTCATTGTCCTTTGGCGGAAATGGGTGTGGCCCAGTGCCATGGGCAATCGTAAACGGGGTGCGTGTTTGCATGTTTGGCTGCTATTTCAGGTCAATGGCAAGCAGTCGGTGCGAGGTTTTTGAATCCCTTGTAAACCTGCTGTGCTATGTAGTTTCGCGTCAAAATGGGAGCCCCCATGATGGGTAGCATCCAAACAACATACCCACATTGTGCAGTGCTCGAACTGGTTTGATGCTGTAAGGAAATTTATATTCCTTAGCATGATGGTCTTGTTTGGAACGGGAAGAATGAGTGATGGGTCCCCATTTGATACACTTGTAGAGGGAGTCGTTCACTTTCACGGCCCCCCGTTTAATCCTAAAGGTTTGAGGTCAACATAAAATGGGGGGAATATCTGACGTGCATGTCGGTTGGCCGACAGCTTGCTACAGAACATAATTTGTGTGGGAGTTCAGATTCATGCTGCAATTTGTTGTTGTGCGTGGTGGGTTTGACAACCGTAGAATATTCACATTTGTCGACTTTCTTGTATACCTGGAAGCGCTGTTGCCAGCCTTCCTGGTGGACGGCAACCTCCGAAAGATTTGAGGCCGGTCAATGGGGGGTGCTTTTCGCTGGAATATATGCCATGGAGGAGAGGCTTGTTCGCAATCCATGCTTACTTTTCGGAAAAAGCTCGGCAAGATTGGTGGCCGTTAGGTAGCAAGTGATTTGAGGGCTGCAAGACCGGTTTGCTTGTACTTGGAGAGTGTAAGCCCCATGAAACGGACATAGGGTTCCTATCACGAGTTCAACCATGGACAGCAACCATTTTGATGGCACAGGTATGTTCGGTGTTTGATGGGTGGAAAGGAAACCAACCATTCGTAGGGGGGTTTACTTGTTTTGGGAAGCACCACACATTCCGCGTGTTTCGAATCACCTGATTCCACTGATGCACACGCTACCCCTAGTGTCCCCCGGGGCTTCTCCTTGATTTGGCGAGGTTCGGAACTCACATTGGCCCTGATTAAAACCCTTCCCAGTCATTTACATATCAGGGTTCCAGTTCCTCTTGGAGAGCCGAATCTCTGCTAAAGAGGAGCCCCGCCAGACAGAGGGTCGACATTAGGAGGGTCAGTCTTTCAAAAAGGGTTCAGAAAATGTGGCAGCTGCGCGAGGCTTTTTTCAGTTGCATGTGAAGATGTTGTTTCCAGTCCGGTGACTAAGTTTTGGTGTCCATTCACAAGCCAACTGTAGTCAGTCTGGACGCAGTGACGGGCACATGCTTGCCTGAGGCACACACAGCAGTGCATCAGATTTGAACATGTGACAGGATGGGGCCCTATGCTAGCAACATGATCAAGGATCCCGTGACGGGCAAGGTGCGACACGGAATGGGGAGGAAAACGCACAGAGGGCCAATATGTGTTGGCCGGCAGTACTCGAACGCTGCAAAAGCCAATTGTGTTAGGCCAAACTGTGGAGCCCGACTTTCGCATGTTTCAGTAGACGTGTATACATATTATTATATATCTATATATATATATATATATGTAACTTGCTATTTGGCATGTACCAATGTGTCAATCGAGACCAAGGTGTTTGCGCAAGGAAATGCAATTTGAGGCAAATTCTTGCAAGTATCCACACTACCGTATCCACTTCTAGTTGCAGTGTTTGAAGACCATGCGATTGGCGTTTGGCGGTTTAGTCAGATTCCCATAGCCCAACATTGGCCGGGGCAGGGTTCCATTTGTGGGTAGCAGGGTGCAACATAGACCCCATGCCGTGTCAAATACAGTGCGAGCTCTGTATAAGAAATCGGTTGGTCGAGGCCCATGGGGGCTGAATTTCTTAGCCAATTTCTTAACCTTGTCGTTTTTTAGGGGAATGAATTCTTGAATTTCTTTTCAAGGGAGTCCTTCATCGCTCGAAAAGGCAAAGAAGCCCTTTCCAGCCCCTGGATTTCTTAGCAAAGGAGCCCTTCATCACCCGAAAAGGCCGCTAAGAAATCCAGCCCCTGGATTTCTTAACAAAGGAGCCCTTCATCACCCGAAAAGGCTGCTAAGAAATCCAGCCCCTGGATTTCTTAGCAAAGGAGCCCTTCATCACCAGAAATGGCCGCTAAGAAATGCAGCCCCTGGATTTCTTAGCAAAGGAGCCCTTCATCACCAGAAATGGCCGCTAAGAAATCCAGCCCTGGATTTCTTAGCAAGGGAGCCCTTCATCACCCGAAAAGGCCGCTAAGAAATGCAGCCCCTGGATTTCTTAGCAAAGGAGCCCTTCATCACCCGAAAAGGCTGCTAAGAAATCCAGCCCCTGGATTTCTTAGCAAAGGAGCCCTTCATCACCAGAAATGGCCGCTAAGAAATGCAGCCCCTGGATTTCTTAGCAAAGGAGCCCTTCATCACCAGAAATGGCCGCTAAGAAATGCAGCCCTGGATTTCTTAGCAAAGGAGCCCTTCATCACCAGAAATGGCCGCTAAGAAATCCAGCCCCTGGATTTCTTAGCAAAGGAGCCCTTCATCACCCGAAAAGGCCGCTAAGAAATGCAGCCCCTGGATTTCTTAGCAAAGGAGCCCTTCATCACCCGAAAAGGCCGCTAAGAAATCCAGCCCCTGGATTTCTTAGCAAAGGAGCCCTTCATCACCAGAAATGGCCGCTAAGAAATCCAGCCCCTGGATTTCTTAACAAAGGAGCCCTTCATCACCCGAAAAGGCTGCTAAGAAATCCAGCCCTGGATTTCTTAGCAAGGGAGCCCTTCATCACCCGAAAAGGCCGCTAAGAAATCCAGCCCCTGGATTTCTTAACAAAGGAGCCCTTCATCACCCGAAAAGGCCGCTAAGAAATCCAGGCCGCTAAGAAATCCAGCCCTGGATTTCTTAGCAAAGGAGCCCTTCATCACCAGAAATGGCCGCTAAGAAATCCAGCCCCTGGATTTCTTAGCAAAGGAGCCCTTCATCACCCGAAAAGGCCGCTAAGAAATGCAGCCCCTGGATTTCTTAGCAAAGGAGCCCTTCATCACCCGAAAAGGCCGCTAAGAAATCCAGCCCCTGGATTTCTTAGCAAAGGAGCCCTTCATCACCAGAAATGGCCGCTAAGAAATCCAGCCCCTGGATTTCTTAACAAAGGAGCCCTTCATCACCCGAAAAGGCTGCTAAGAAATCCAGCCCCTGGATTTCTTAGCAAGGGAGCCCTTCATCACCCGAAAAGGCCGCTAAGAAATCCAGGAAGAAATCCAGCCCCTGGATTTCTTAGCGAAGGTTGCCCTTCAGCGCGTCACACCCGCGCCTGAAACCAGGAATCATTGGCTCAGTTCTTGGCGTACAGAGGTGGTTTTCTTCCTTGCGCAAGCAGCAAGTTGGCTAAGAAATTGGGCGAAGAATCCAGCGGGCTCAATTTCTTAGCAGCAAACACAGTTGCAACCTGCTTGATTTGGGAGTCTCAGCCCCTCAATTTCTTATACAAGGATTTCTTCTACAGCGCTTGTATTTCTACATGCATTTTCAGCTTGGGTCATTTGCTTCGGACTGGCAAGTGATAGCTTGCTTTTTTTAAGCCGCAAAGCTTGAACGCACCTGCGTGCTGGCACTTGGCCGGTCCCAGCCGTTCGGTGCTGGCGAGGTCTACCCGGACGGAGGCAAGTTCTTCGCCTCGCCCCGGGAGGATCCGGTGAGCTTCGTGGCAGGGGCCTAAGCGAAGCGGGGCTTCCGGCCTTCGGGATCTCAAAGGAAGCGGTCTCCGAATCTCCGAATGGTTGGATCCCTTCTGGTGTCCCTTTACTAGGTCCCCCAGTGGCCCAGTAGTGCCCTTTGAGGACCCAGTTTAAGTATCAGAGGGGGTTGGCAGTGGACATCCTGTGGCTTAAGCAGCAACGGAGGGTTGCTGTGAGTCTGAGGCTTCGAAGCTTTCCGCCCTTCTACTCGTCTTTGTGTGTTTTGTGACGGGTCCTGAACAGGTTTCTGAAGTGGATTTTGCCAACGAATTCTGGGATGGTGTCCAGAACCAGATGTCTGAGGGGTGTGGAGGCGGTCAATCTGTGTTTTTGCATGCTTGTTCTACCACGCAGGACAACGGCCTTGCTGGAACGGGCTTTGTGCCACTGCAGCCTTGGAACAGCTGCGCTGTCAAGGGATCCCCCTTTTGCAGGCTCGACTCCAACTATTGCTCAATCTATGGTCGCGTTTAGATGGTTGGCTCATTTTGGCTTTGGTTCAAATGAAACAAAGGGCGCCCATTCAATTTCGGGCGTTCGCAAAAGGCACCGGGGGGATCTTTTTTGATGGTGTTTCAAGGGGAAACCCCAGGTCGGAGCACGACCTTCCCCTCAAACATGGAAGTGCACAGACCTGTTTTGAAAACGGAGAGGGGTACTGTGCACTTCCGTGTTTGCCAGTGGGAGGGCGCTTGATACGTGGGGGTGCCCTAAAACAGAGGACCCCCTTTACCGGTGGGTTGAGACAAGCCACAGAGGGGTACCCCAATCATAGCTGACTGGTGACGAGCAAATGATCAGTTGGCTACTTACCCCAACTCAACCAGGCTTCCAAGCACCAGCACAGTGGTATTATTGGGGTGTGTATCACAGAAGGGGACCCCAAATGGTTTCCATTTCAAACTTCCCCAAAAAGGGCCCACAAACAAAGCACCCACTCATATTTAGGCGCGGAAAGTCGAAGCTTTGGCTGGCCCTCGGAGAAGCGTTTCCCATCCAACCGGCGGAAGCGAGCGCAGGTGAACTGCCTCATCGCACTCACCACCGTGCATCCCCCGGCGCCGGCTTGACTCGGTTGCCAAAGAAACCCCCTAGCATGTGTGTGTGTGTGTGTGTGCGTGTGTGGGGCGTTGTATTTTTGTTTGCTTGACGGAAGAAGCCCGCTTGGCAATTGGCTGGCTCCTTTAAAGGGATCATTTCTGCCTTTTCTGTAAGCAAAGTTGTATTGCAACTGTTTGCCCCCTTGTTGCTCCCTGCTTGTATCCTTGGTGGTCCCTGTTTGCTCCTTGTTGCGGTGTTTGCATTTTGCGCAGCTTTCTCTCTTTCTGCCCCCCCCCTTTGCACCACTTTGCGTTCCGCTCCTTTTTTGTTTTATCCGTGCATCGCAGTTTTTTCCCGCCCGCTTTGCTTTGTCCACTTTTGTCCTGCTCGCATTGGCCAGCAACCACATATAATATATATATATATGTATATATATATATATATGTATATGTATATATATGTATATGTATATATGTATATATACATATGCAGGTCCCCCCCACTAGCAAAACAAGAACTATGTTTCGCATACCACCCTGTAAATGTACAGGTTGTTCCATGAAATAGGTAGCTTTGCACATCATTTAGCGGGTAGAACGTGGTTGTGAGTGTGCTTCAGAAAATATTCAGTGAAACCAGAACTATGAGAACATAGTAGTTCAACTTAGTTTTAAGGTTTTCAGCGGCTAAACCCTCCCCATCAATTCATGGCCACAAGTAAGGTATACTTGCATCCAAGATACGCTAGTACATTCCACAAATACGAGCCAATGATTGCTTTGCACTCATGCCGGAGCTCAGCAGGTTTCTCCAGACTAACATTGCTGGCATAGTGTGCATATTAAGCATAGCGAGCATGAGGAGCACTTCAGCTGAAGTCTTAGCAGGCTTTTGTAAATTTGTTGAGGTCCGCAGCAGTTTGAGAAGCTCACAATTCACAGAAGCCGACTTTCTGAGAACTCTGAGTGTCTTCGAGAAAGCATTTAAGGCAGCCTCATGCCCGTTTTCCTGACATGTTGCCAAGGTGCTGCCGCGATGCTGCAGTGTCAATATTGCAGTGAAATCCAACGGATGCAAGCATCCATACAATACCATGGGTCATTTGCATCGAAGTCAAGACTGGCAGCAGCAACAGCAGCGGAGAAATGTTGCACAACATGTTGTGCAACATTTTTTCCAGGTTGGTGGGTGGGTGGGTGGGTGGGTGGGTGGGTGGGTGGGTGGGTGGGTGGGTGGGTGGGTGGGTGGGTGGGTGGGTGGGTGGGTGGGTGGGTGGGACGGCCCTGGCTGGCGGTCGGGCGGGTGGCCTGAGAAGTCTTTGGAGCACCCGCCCTTAGGACCTACGACACGACCAAAGAATCCCCAGCCCCCCCCCCAGACCGTGCACCCACCAACCAGCCAGCCAGCCACCCACCCAACCAACCAACCACCCAACCAACCAACTGACCATTCAAACCAACATTCATATTGAACCTTGTTGGAAAGGTGTTGAGCAACATATTGTGCAACATATTGCTCCTGGAGCTTCTTAAAGAGTGTTCAAGTATTATGGCTTGCGCACATGAACACAAGCATAGATATAACGATATTCATGCAAAAGCTGCAGATTTGGCATATGCTTGCGTATTTGTTGCTTTTTCAATCTTACCCACATTGGCAGTGTGGCACTAGAAAACATCAAACAAGTACATGTTGGTAGGCTTTGCGGTGGAACATGTAGTTTAGTTGTCCGTGTTCTTCACTTGGGGGCGGGTTTGTGATATATATATATATATATATATACATATATAAATACATATATATATATATATATACATATATATATATATATATATATCGATCGGGATTGAAGAAGCATGTTTCTGGGAAAGCTTTATTGACATCTTCAACCCTCGACACGGGGATGTGTTGATATTTCTATGCATCACATATATATATATATATATATTATGCACATTATATGTACTTGTACTTGCCAGGGTTCACTCAAGGTTAAATCAAGGGCTGATGTCATTGACCCCTCCCCGCCAATTTACTGGACATGATACCTGTTCAAAGCAAAGATGTCGAGCGTGTCAAACTGTTCATTGTTGAAGGGAACATGAAAGGAACAATCTCCCGAGACGGGTTTGCAGCAATAGTACGTCAAACAGATCGATGTTGTCACCCATTATATTCAAGCTGCAACAAAATGCATGTTCCACACGCTCTCCAAAAGGGTTCAAGACTAGGAATCACATGTCCATGCTTGGCATGCTTTGATGAAGTTTGTGGCTGAGGCACTTGGAACGTTGACATCGTTGTATTCCGATATCTTAGGCAGGATGCACACATACACACTCCACACTCACACACCTTGAACGCACAAAGCCCACTGAGTCCTATTTGAACTTCCATCTGGTCGCCGCTGGTTTCGGTTGTTGGCCATGGCCTTTTCCCTGAGGTGTGGACCATTAGCCAGCTCTCCTGGGGCGAATCGTTCTTCGAGAAGCGCAACTTGGCGAGAGAGACCGAACTTGGTACGTCTAAACCACGGGTTCCGAGGATCCTTTTGAGACGGCTTAGCCATGCTCAGCCTTGGGGGGGGGGGTAATCTCCAGGAAGTGACACGTGTTGGATGGCCCTACAAGCGTGTCGGATGGACTGGTGAATTGGCCCTTCCAAAAGAAGCTGAGCGCACCCGATGAACCCTTGGAACGCATTTTGGGACACAACCTTTGGGCCTGTGTCAAAACAGGGTGTCCTCAAAATAGGGGGGGTCCACCAACATGAAAAGGGCACTGCCAAGAAAGCACACCCATTTTCATGGCAGTTTGTTTTCCAGACTTTTGAGGAAGTCCATCCACCGCCATCCCCAGGTAAGCGGGTGATCCGAGAGCGCATCAGGCGTTGGGCTGGGAAATTGCTCTTGTGAACAGCAGGACATTCCTATAAGAAAATCCATGTTGTCGTGGGTTTTGGCAAATTTCCTGTTGACACTCCTGTACTAGTAGCTGCTTTCCATGAAACTTTTGTTGTTTTTTCCAGAGAACACCCTTTGACATGCTTTGCGGACAGGAATCTCATGTAAAACCAAGGAGGGCCCCCATGATCCAAAAGGAGCTTCAACCAATGCGTTTGGTCACATCCCCTAATTCGTCTTAGATCAGTAGACTGCTCAAGACTTTGAGCCTCCCTCTGCTTGGAGATGCGACACCAATTCTTTTCACCCTAGGCTTGGCTGCTGCAAAGGCAACTTTGCTTCGAGCTATCCCCTTGGCATTTCATAAGGTCTGCTTTGTCACAGCTGTCTTGGCTATCGGGTCGGGTCCAGGATCCTCAAAGAGCAGAGTGTGCCATTACTCGGATGACTGCAGGGCCAAGTGCTGCGGTTGTTCTGGTCAGACGCAGCTGTCAGGGTTTACAGCTGTTGTGGTCCAAGATGACGTAGCCGCGGACCGGACAGGGCGGCTTCTCGGATGTCGCTAAAACTGTGGGGATAATGTGTGGGGTCTTTGTGCAGGGGGGGCAACAACAGTCGAGGAATGGTGAGCAGTTGGCTGTGGCAAACCGGCTAACGCAAAATGCCAGTGGGCCATTCAACGGATCCTTCTCAGCGATGCATTGTTGCATCCCTGGCCAAGTTTGAAGATGTTGCACGCTCCTCGGATTTCGCCACACGAAAACGATGTGCAAACTAAGTGTAACCAATGCTTCTGGGAGGAAGCAGTTCAAACTGACACCTTTCATTTGGGTCGGGGCAACGACGTGAACCTCAGAGTCTGATCTGTCACATCTGGCTGGCTCGCCCCATTTTGAGCGTCACAGTTTGTTCTGCGACCGAGTCTGAATCCTCGCATTTGATCCAGATACAGCGGGCCTTATGGGTCGAGCCCCTGCCGGGTCGGTTATAGGAGCCCAGGTTGATCATTGGCGCAGCTCTGGCTGGTCTCCGCATTGGTGCTCGTGCAGCTGTCTGGTTCGGGCCATTGTCTAACGCCTCAACAGCTTTAGGCCCTACTTTAGGCCATTGGAGGGAGCTTGGGAGTCTAGGCTTGTCACAGCTGCGGTCGGCTCTGTCACGGCTGCCGTCGAAGCGGGCACTTTTTGTTCTTGCCGAAGAGCCTCCGAGCCTTCGGGACAACTATGAGCCCCCCATGGCAAATCGTTTTCCCATTTTCCCTTCCACGCCCGCGAAAACGCACCATGGCCTAGTGGCAACGGCCAGGCTGGAGTATGGGCTCCCCAAGGGTTGGGAGCACGAGATCGATGATGAGGGCGAGTTGCCGGAGAGCCGAGATGGGCAGCGGGAGTGACCAGGCAATACTGGGGCGTGTCAACACGACATCGGTGCCTTTGCGGACAGGACCTAGCAAGTCCCCTTTCCAATTTAGGATCCGGGCGCCAACAGTTGGCCTGGTAAATGTGGGGGAATCACGACGAACTCTGATGGTCCTTCGGAAAACAAGGTGTTTTGCGCATGTTCTTCGCTACGGGCCTTGCAACCACAAGCGAACTCGAACCCCTTTTCAAGTTGCGTGCTGTTGTAGGGACCATTTCAATGTCGCCCTGAAAGCATCGAAGGATACACATTACACAAGATATACAAAATATCTTAGTACACTTGACATACACGGTACATGCGGGTCGCTGGATCTTTCCTACGTGACTTCTGGCAGCGCCTCAGGCCCTTGTCTGAGGAAGCGCCCAGCGGAACTCCCGCTGCCGAGCCGGCGAGCCACTGAATCCGACGAGCCAAGACGAGTTGAATTGACACCAAAGGGCTTGTCAAATGGCCGTCTATTTGTTGCGCATATGTTTTTTCATGGGGACTCTCCTCAAACATGCTTGCATAAAATCCCATGCGGTGGTGTCTGTTTTGCAATACTACCTAGGTATCAGTTGTTTTGCCTCCCCCCCATTGGTTTTGCCGGTTGATGGATAGATCTTGCGTTTCATGCTCGCCTATGAGCAGCTGCTCGTATGGTTTCCTTTCACTGCCAAAAGTTGTTTTCACGCACAGCTATATGGTTCTTAAATGGGCCCACCCGAAACAAGACATGTCTGTTACCTGTTTTGGATTGTTCCCTCCGATCCCGCACAAATGGGCTCGAGAGCTGGTGCTAAAGGCCTCGGGGGTGACCAACAGACACAGGAAAGAGAGGGAGATGCTTTCGACGGCCACTTTGTCGACAGATTACAGCTTGCCAGGCTGCGTCCGTGAGAAATCAACACTTGCACAGCGCAGGGCGTTCATGGGTCAACCAGTTTGTGTGTGTGGCGAACTTATGTCTTCGGCTGTGGCTTGGTTTGTTGGAGCCAGGGTCGGATCAGCCAGAAGTTGTTTGCGAGTGCATGCATGAGCTGCAAAGATGCTGCGATCTCCATTTGACATGTTGCTGTTCCTATGGAGGCATCCACTGGATGTTCGCTGGATGTTCGCTGGATGTTTCGGCTTAGCAAGCTGAACAACATGGAAGCAAGTTGGCGCCGAGCAACATCGACGCACCTGATCCTTCAACCCAGCTCGGCACGGAAGCACGTTGAGCAGGAAATGGATGTGTACGGCAAGCACCATGCATCCACACACACAACTTGCGTGGGGTGCGGCTTCCAGGATCTCGTTTATAGATCATGATCCAGGTTTGGTTAGAGACACAATATTTGTGTACCTGATGGCACAGACCCGGCAATTCTGCAGAGATGTCTGGTCAAAGGCTAGGCGAGAAACAAGAAAGAGTTGCTTCAGAGCGCGAAGCCATGCCGGAGGACGGTGGCAAGGCGGAGAATGACGGCTGCCGTTGGCCCAAACGAGCATCAATTGTCAGCGAGTTCGCATGGGCATCAATTGTAAGGTTTTTTTTCTTCAAAAACAGTAAGGGCAAACATTCACGCAAAGGGGGTTGCCCACAAGAGGCCCTGAGCCTCTTCAATGTGACTGTTTTCCTCTTTAGTGTCCAACTATTTTGGGGGTTGCTGAAATTCTCAAATTAAAGCCTTAGTCTTGTTACATTAACAAGGCTGGTTCACCTAACCTAGTTCTTCTCAGCTCAAAGGGTAAAGGCCTTGGATCTAGGAAGTCCATTTTGCCAGTGCCCCCCCCCCCCCCAAACCATCAAATTTAAGATCTTTACCAAAAAGTAAGGGCAAACATTCGCGCAAAGTGGGTTGCCAACAAGAGGCCCTGAGCATCTTGAATGTGACGGTTTTGGCCAACCGTTTTGGGAGTTGCTTGAAAAACGGGCCTTGGCAATGCTAAAGTAGAATTGGCAATTTTAAAGTAAGTACTTAGAATCTGAGTGTCAGCCTTGGCAACACTCAAGTAGAATTGGCAATTCTAAAGTAAGTACTGTCCGTCCCACCCCCAGGACTTTCTCCAAAGAGGGTCCAGCTGACTGGTTCCACTGTTCCAGGGGGGGAGGGCCCCATGTGAAGAGGGTCCAACATTGCCCAGGGACGCCGTTGATCCCTATGCGTTTACGTTCAACCTGGCAGGTCTACGTGGGCGGGCTAAATTTCAGCACCAGCAGCGATGGCTTGAAGGCGACGGCTTCTTCTAGTGGGGAGGTGCCGCATGTTTGCCGTGGGTTTGTCTCAGAATAGTGCAGAAAATAAAGATTGGAGGCCCCCAAAAGAGTACCCAAACAAGACGCTTGAAACATATCTCGTCAGGTCCAGGTTTGTGTGCCAAAGGCATCAAAAGGGTGGTTTACTCCTTGGTGCTCTGGCGCTCATCTGCAGAGATCCTAGGTGTTATTTACTTGGGGCGTTTTGGCCAGCGAATTGATTCAGGGCCCTTTGGCCAGCGAATTGATTCAGGGCCCTTTCCGTTTTGCCTGAGTTTATGGGCATGCCGAGTCGCTAGAGTTGCCCAAGTGAACACATGCATTGAGCTGGTTGTCATCCTTTTGAGCAAGATGGTGTCGTTGTTTGTTGCTGTGCTCAATTAGATCCATTCAGGGCTGCACCTGCAGAACGAAACACTGAGGATCATTGACTTGATGATTGTAGTCGAATAAGCCAGGACTGAAGTAAGATCTTGTGTTCCCATTGTTTTTTGTTCTTGATGAAACAATGAGCTCTAGAAGCAACAAGATCTTGCATGGCTCAGTTGACCAAACACGCACAGTCTTAAAACCGCAAGCCTCGCGGGAGCTGCAGCCAGTGTTTCCTCACCCGTCCCACCCAGCACCTTGGAGGCACACTTCGAGCAGTTCGGCGCGATCTCGGACTGCGTTGACGGGGCGCTCATTTCGAGTGGCACTCATGTTGGTCATTCAGGGCTCGGAGATGGAAGTTCGAAGAGGGATGTGCCACAAGCAGCTAGGAGTGGAACTCTCCAACTTGGTTGGTTCTAATATAGTTTCCGATTGGAATGGACCCTAAAAAGCAAGCAACTGACAGCATGAGCAACCTATGGGCCTCCTGGTGTGGATTTATTGAGTGGGCCGCTACTTCTCCTCCCCAAATCAACAATATTGTGATAGTCTGAAGCACCCAATTCATTGTGGCGCACGTGCAGTCACATGTCCTTTTGGGCTCAGAGGTGTTCCGGGGTGGCAACTAGATAGCCACAATCAACATCTGATAGAGGAATGTTAGTCGGACACTTCCAGTCATAAATGGAAGCGGTCATTGACATGAGCTTGCTTCTGGTACAGTGTAGTGATGTTCAAAGGGAAAAGGAACCCTACGGAATGGGACTGGCCGAATTTGCCTTGTCGATACATCGGCCTGCCAGAAGTTTGTGAATTTTGCGTATGACGGTTTTGCCTTGAATTGGGCGGTGATTATACCTGGTGGGATTACAAGGCATCTGGGTATGTGGCAATCAAACGAGCACCAACGCCCCAAAATCGGCGGTTGTCCTTTTGGTTTCCCTCTAAACCAACCTGAAAAGGGTAGCCTCAAAACACGCAGCTAAAGTTATTTCTTGTTTATATACAAGCCATTACAAATCAATTTATGCTTTTGTGTACATGCATATACTTTTGTACATACATATATAAAGTCATTGCCACCCTTAGTCACTCCACGTAGGCGCTGCCGGGACCCTGCCTTAGGTCATGACCGACAGGGAGACGGGCCGGTCCCGCGGCTTTGGCTTCGTGACCTTTGAGGCAACGAGAAAAAACGGGCTATCTGTACGATGTCCGTCGGTTTTATTGGAAGTCCGTTGGTTTTGTTTGTTTGTTTGTTTGTTTGTTTGGTTGGTTGGTTGGTTGGTTGGTTGGTTGTTTGTTTGTTTGTTTGTTTGTTTGGTTGGTTGGTTGGTTGGTTGGTTGTTTGTTTGTTTGTTTGTTTGTTTGTTTGTCTAATTATTGTTTTTTGGTTGTTTTTATGCATGAACACCTTGGGTAGGTTCTGTGTGGTTCTGTTTTTGCGCTTGGCCCAACGTTTCGTTTTGCTGGCCCTGTTATTCTGCGAAGTCGGAAACCTCAAAATGATTTTGGGAAGAAGCCAGTTTTCGCAAAGGAGTTCCAGTTCGGTTGCGAGGGCAGGGGAACATTAGTTGCATCGGGTTCCTTTTGAAGTCAGCGGTGGCGATGTGGTGGCACTCGTCCAAAACATTGAACTTAAGGTTCCGGAACCCCTTTGGAGGAACCACTAGGATTTCATGGCTATCCTCCCCCAGGCCAACATGGAACCTTCCGGAACCCCTTTGGAAGACTTGATTTCATTTACAGTTGCCTTCTGGGAGCTTCCATGTGAGTGTGAGGGAGTGTATCTTCAAGGCATTGCTCGACAAAATCGTCGAAGCATGCAAGACACCAAGCGGGCCCCTGGAATCAATTTTCCGGAAGCCGACGGACACTTTTGGAATGATGTTTGTTCGCCGGGTTCTCCTAGGCAACAAAAGGGCAGGTCGTTATGGCGCGGACTCCGCACCAAATGGCTCCAATGGCGTTCCGACAATTGATTCTGTTTTGAGACGAAACCTGGCTTTAGCGCCAAGCACTTACAGTCGGTCATTCTGCATGTGCATGTAGTGGTTCACGACAACACGTATCAACCACTCATCCATCTTGGGTTGAGGGTTTGAAGTGAACTTGAGGTACCAACCTTGGGGCTTAGTGGGACTTGCGACCTTGTGAGGTTGGGAGTTTGGCAGGGAAGAGGGGCTGAGGAAGGCTTGGGTTTTTGACGTCACAAGCAAGGACATACAACAAGTGAATTAGTACGCCAAAGCGAGGTTGTTTGTTGCCCATCCGATCTTTCAACTTGATCCGGGCAGGTCTGAGGAAGATTCATGCGAGGGAGGTGTTTGTCCCAGAGTGGACAAGTCATTTGCCCGTGTCTGCCTGGGACCCCATATGGAGGCTTTTTGTTTGGTCATACGCCTTTGACCAAACGAATGGGCATACGTTTTTTTTTGTTGTTGTTTGGTAATTACGTGTTTTTGTTTTTCAATGTTCAACACGAGTTTCATACGCATCGTATACGCCATTGACCGGAAAACAATGTCACAAAGGCGAATTGCGAAAGGAATCAAATCTCTGCAGTTGGGTGGGACTTCACCAAGTTGGAACGGCCGAAATCGGATTGCTCTGCGCAGGATCCAGGCTCTGTGAATGCGGCCATCACCATGTCGGCAGCTCATTCTTTCTCCTGGCGAGCTTGCACGTATCAGCTCGAACCAGAGCTACGTCTCCGCGCGCTTGTGAGGCCAAGAAAACTAAAACGTTTGGTGAGCCGAAGCTCCATTTTGGCTCGAGCGCAGAACGAACAAACGACCGCGCACGCGGCCGTCAAGTAGTAGATCTGATAGTTTGAAGCACAGATTTTGACATGTTTTGCCAGTCAGATTTTACAAAAGGGTGCCGATTGATTTTGCGGGTGTCAGAAGAATGTTGCAGAAGTCCGCTGGTTTCGTGCTTCCAAGGCCCACTCAGCAGCTGGATGGGCGCAGCGTCACAGTGAAGAAGGCCTTTTGACGTGTTCACCAACAGAGTCCCGAAGAAACCAAGCCGATGTTCAAAGGCCAAGATCTTTCCGAGCGGAACGGATTCGACCACAAGAGTCATGCTCAGTTGGGATGTTGGATGAGGATTGGGCAATCCTCGTTGAACAGCCCATTGGGAATGTGTCAGAAGGAGTTGTCCGCAACATCAATGTGTATCTGCAACACCTTGTCAGTTTTAGCGGCATGAAGGCGTTGCCAGTCTCTCACTTGACTGATTTCCCCACTGTTTAAGGTGATGAGAGCATCTCAGTGCCTCACAGCTCATGAAAATTCCAAGAAGTCGTTTGCTTTCCTTTAGGTTCTTGGCTTTGACACATTCCCCACATTCATGGGATTTCCCCAGATTGGCAATAGGGAGGGGAAGGCTGCGGCAGTTCTGGGTTCAAAAATCAATCCTGGTAGCGGTTCCCTTCTTTTGGTCTCCATCCAGTACGGATTAGGAACAGACATCTCCAGAGATATTCCTCCCCAACCCATTTGAAAGGCTGCCATGTCTGAGCTTTGAGGGCAGCTCGCAGCACTTTTCTCTGAACAACAAAGCCTTTTTGGAGCTAAAGGGGCTGATCAGGTTAGGGAAAAGAGGCCGGGGCTTCCACGGAACTACCTGCGCAGTACCTGTGATCATTCCCGAAGGATAATTATGTTCAGATGCTATCATCATGAGTTCTTTGGAAGATCCTTGGCGCAGCCATGATGCAAGTTGACAATTTCATGATATGGCATTGGGTGACAACTGGTTCGGATGGGCCGAAGCCCTTCCGATGGTTCCGCGCCAAACCACAGGATCCTTGCCCAACCATGCCACGTCATCCGAGTCGGTGTTTCCCCGCAGGAAACCTTTGAGCATGGCTCCCTAAAGTGGCAGTTTCATTGGAAAACATTTCAGTCACATCCCAGCCATACATTACCCCTTAGCCCTCCAATTGCATGGTTCTGGGGTTCTAATTGGAGGGCTCGACGTTTATCCGCCTTTTGAATCCTCTTTACATGGGTAAACGTGAAAATATCCCATGTTGCAGGCGACCCGGGAGGGCTCCGGCAAGGGCGCAGGCCCAGCGCCTGCAGGCCCGAGGGGCCCAGGATACAAGAAAAAGCGATGGATTCAGCTCGGTGCAGCCCATGCAACGAAGTCCGGGAATTCGGTGTCTAATGCTCAGTAGGTTCACTTGGTCAGCCGTTGAGCTGGAGACAAAGCTCTTTTGGTCTGTTCTACCAGTGCGCGGCTGCAATGCTAACCGATTTGCGTGAGATTGCAATAATATGGAATCCCAAAGGGGCTCCTTTCAAACGAGGTTACACTAAAGAATCGTGGTTTTGCGCGTTCCTTCTGTGTATTTGCTGGAGTGTATTTGGTAGCCAAGCTTGAACAACTCAATGTTTCTTGTTCGCGCAGGTTTGCTGTGAGTCGAGTGCATGATCACAGGGGTTTGTTTGGCTTTGGAATAGAACATGGTTCTGACGCATGCCCATAACAAGACCAACCTACAATCTTAAAGTAGTAGTGGGGAGGACATTGGGGACCCAACACACAGGGAGCCAAAGCACCCAATTTTCCGTGGGGGAACGAGTTGAATGTTGAATCTTGTGGCGGGTCTCAAAACGGGTAGCCCCTTTTGAATGGTTTCGAAGAGGAAACCCAAAGGAAGCCGAAGTGCCACCTGGACGGCTCGTTCTCTTGAGACACACTCGGGGTGTCTCCGAATAAAGCAACGCGCAAAACGAGCCGGCGTCTGTTTTTTCAGAAAAGACCCTTGAAGTTGCGCATAGGCCCTCAAGTGTTTCTGTTGTCATCCCGAGTGGATCGCCATCTAGTCATCTACCTCAACTCGTCTCATGACTTCAGGCGTGGAGTTCAACGTCGTCAAGGTCTTCGTTCGCCTGGCTCCACTTTGCTTTTGGGGAGTTGGATGAACAGAAGGAGCCCAAAAAGGGGGGGTTAAGGGTAAGGGTGATTCAAATCCCTCTTTGATCCTAACCAAAAATATGAAGGCAGATGAGCTTTTGGGGAGCTCGGCAATCTCATTTTGACCCCAAACAGTTATGTCGCTGGTCTCTGTGCTTGAACCCAGGTCCTTAAATGTTCCCTTTGAGTGGAGCATCTGCTTTTGGAAAAGCCACTAAGCACGAGCTTCCTTTTGGGGGACGTTTTGGGAGAAAGGCATGCGGATCCTTGCGCAGGGTTCTCATGACTGCCGTCGAAAAGGGTTAAAGTTAGTGACTTGGTGAAGGTCCAGCCTAGGGACCACCTCATTTGGGTCAGCAATCCTTCCCACCCAAACCCAAAATCAAGATTCCTTCACTTCCTCAAAGCTGTCTGGGGGTTCTGTTGCAAATCTGTCCAAGCAAAGTTGACGCCAAGAGGATTTGGAACTGCAAAACAAGCGCCCTCTGCATCTGTTTTGAGGAGGGTGAGTATACTCGCTCCTTCCAGATTCAGGATTTGAGGCATCATGTTGGATTCCACAGGAGAGGTTTGCCTTTGGGAAGCCGATCGGTTCGTTTCAGTATGGCAACATGGGGAAATGCCGGTTGAATGAACTAGATTTTCGGATTCATGCTGATTGTTACGCTGGAAGGCACGAATCCTTATCTTGCTCAATAGGTGCCAACATCCCTGACATGTTTGTATTGGGTTTTCATCAGGGAGTCGACATTACTCATTATTCTTGACGTTTCAAGATAGTCGGGCTGAAGCAACTGTGGCTCTTGAGAGAATTCTAGGACAGCATATTAATATGTTCTTCTCCAGGCAACACGGCAGTTGCTCCATGCCTTATTTGGTCAAAAAGTATGCCTTGGGTCCTGACTGATGTACGGGGCTTTTAACCGAAGTGGCTGATGTCCATCAAAGTTTTCCCCTAAAACCATTCAATAAGCCCCCTTGACTAGACCATTGAACACAAAACTTGGGTTAAAGGGAACTGAGCCTCAAACCAATTTTGGTGTTTCTGAAAGTAGCCGACCCCTGTTCTTCTTTGTGTTTCTCTTGTGTCAAAATAGGGCAAGCCGCAACATGACATCGAATCGGTTTCCTTTGGTATCGCTTTAAGCCAACCCTCCATCCATCCGTCCGTCCGTCCGTCCATCCATCCATCCATCCAAGAGGGTACCCTCAAACACTTGCTGGTGCTCACTACGGAATGCCTCAGGTTTTGGGAATGAACCTAGGGATTCCGTTAAGGACACCATAAGTCGGGGATGGTTTTCCTAGGGGTCATTCCATTTCTCATTCCCAGCATCTCTCGCACCAGGTGGGAGGCCTCGCGCCGAGCGTGGACTATGAGAAGCTCACAGGCACCGAGAGCCCGGAGTTTCTCCCATGGCTGTGGGGTTCAATGGGGTGCACGGTTTCAGGTTGGTTGAAGGGAGAAACTCATTTTGGGGGTTGCTTCGAGACACATTGACATGGAACCTAGAAAGGGAGTCCAAGAGGAGATTCCTCTACAAACGAAGGTTTTTTGGGGGGTCCATGTTAATCCGCAGGGGTGTACCCCTAGCTTGCTTTTTGGTTTGTGAATCCGAAGCTTGTGAAACTTAAGCAGCCCACTTGTGCCTAGTTTGAGACCCACAGTGGCTGCTTAAGGAAACCACCGCGGGAGTAAGCACTCCCCAAAACCCGGATCAGAAGAGCAATTGGGTAAGCCGCAAGCAGGAAACCAAACGGGATATGTTTGCTCGTTCGCCTTCCTCCACGTTTGTTTCCATCCCCATTTGAACTGAGGGAACGTCTTTTGAATGGCTTGGCCGTTGCTGTTCGAAACCCTAAGGGTTGTTATGGATCCAGCAGTCCATCCAAGTTGTGTTGAAAGCAAGCTGGCGATGCAAACCTGTTTTGCACAGTCAACCACACCACAAAGTCTCCCTAGAGTCAGCCGGCGCAGGACACGCCGTTTTCATTTCTTGCCGCTGAAAGACGCCCCTCCCAGCCAGAAGTGCAGCCCTCTTTTGGGAAGAGGAACAGTCTGAAAGCGGGACTTACCCTAGCGGGTAGACTTTGGATGACTTTTGACTGATAGAATGTATGTCTCATGGTTCAGGCTTCGCTATACTTCCCTTGTAGGTTTGAATATTACCTTCTGGGCCTTCACAAATCTTGTGTGTGCTTTCTCCGTCCGTGCGTCTGTCCGTCCATCCGGGTTGTTTTTTCATTAAGGCCTTTTCCCTTCGCCAGCAGTGAGCAAGCAAAATTAGAAGCTGCTTGGTTTTCAATTCGGACTATCGCAAGCAGGGTTTGAGGCGCAGATTTTGTGATTGGGGGCCTTTTGCCTTGCTGGGTAATAGTTCGTTTCTGGCGCAAAACGGGCATGAGAGACGGCTCAACTATTGTACGGCTTGTTGTTGAGACAACCTGACAGCCTGATATCCTCGTCAGGTCTCCGTCCGAGCCCATAAATTGTCCTTTGATGACTCCAGGTGGGCCGGTCCAAGTCGGGCAACTTGGTCGGTCTGACCTTCATGCATTTTTTTTGCTGATTTGTGTATGTTGGCTTGCTGCAAGCCAGGCAGGGTTGCGCGAGGCTTGGGACATTAAAGAGTGCTTTGGAAGGGCACGAGAAAGCATTTAACGGCCTTTGGGAAAAAAGTCTTCAATATAGTTAAGACATGTCACAACAGATTGAGCCCTAAGTTCCCAGTGAGCAATCGACATGCTGGTTTTTCCGCGGAATTTCCCGTTAATATGTCCTTTCTCATGAATTGCCCTGATGTTTGGTACCTGCGACATGATTGGTTTTGGTGGCAGGCAACCTGGAGAAGTTTATAGGGTTGTCACGGTTGTGTCACGTTTGTGTCTCTGCATGACATGAGCCTGCCAAGAGCGGCACCACAACGACAGACTCGCAGTGTATCTTGATGTAGGCTACTTCCAGAGGTTCGGCGCAATCGAGGCTGGAAAAGTGGAATCGCCACTATGGGCTTTGCCCAATAGCTAACCTGTCGACCTTCTGATCTTTTCCCGTGGCAACGTTTTAGTCATGGATCCGACGTGAGTATTCTGTCAACATGATGGTTTGAGTCCAGTTCTGACAGGGAGCAATAGTCATATGTGAACTTAACAAAATATACTACTTCGCTGCTGCTGGATTCTGATCAAGAGCCAAAGAATGATTCTGCCTTGAATGGCTCGACGAAGCCTGGTCATTCTGAATGGGGGCTTGTTTGGTGTACGAGGGCTTGTTCGGATGCACACAAACACACGGCATGTGAGGTTGGTGAGGTGGATACTTCTCAAAAACTCCAGGTAGGCGCTTTCCTTCGGTTTCCCTTTGAAGCCCTTGAATAATGAGCTTTCTATGCTGGAATCTGGCGTCATATTTTTTGTGAGAAATTTTAACTTGCCATCCATCGATGCCATGGTTACTTTATATCTTTTCATCGCTTATCGCTTCGCTGATCGCGTATCCGGTGTGAGTGCCCGGTGAATTGTGCGTGACGTGACAGGGAATAGCTGAAGACACTGCCTGAACTGTGACGACTGTTTTGTGGGTTTCGGATGCCACTTCCCAGCTATTCCGGAAGGGAACCATAATGACTAAAGTCCTGAAAGGTCGGGGCTAGTAGGAATGTTTGTGGGTTCTTTCAACAGGGAATAGACAGCCAGAATAGGAATCCCCCAGTTCAGGGAACGATGATCACAGCCCACATGAGGGGTTTTGACCATGCGAATTTTCAAATGAGCCCTGGATATCGTGACTTGTAGCACTGGATGCACCCATCATACTGCCATCAAGTGAAATCACTCTGGCTGTCGGAACAACTGCTCACAGAGCAGATTCCTAGCTAGCTTGGTTCAGGACGCCGTGGTCATGATGGACGCAGCGACGCAAAAGCGGCTTGAAAATTAGCAAGGGCGGCTGGAGTTTGTGTTGTCTTATTGTTCCTTCACTTTGGTGACTTTCAATTTGATGCCTCTGGGATGATGCAGCTCGCCTTTTCAGTCACTGCTTTGTCAACACTACCAGTCACTACCTTGTTGGTGGTGCTTTGCAACAACTCATTGGATGCACGCCCACTCAATTGGAGCTTGGTATAGCTGTTGACCCGTGACAACCTTTCACCATTCGCTCACCACCTTGGTGTTCCGTTTCGGCCGTTGCCGATGTCCTTGTTCCCTTTTTGGCGTAGCTCACCGTAAAGCTGAGCCAGAACACAGCCAGGGTCAGCAAAGGCAAGCGACACCCAATGCCTCCGGCCAGCATCCGAGGGCCAGCGAAGCTCGGGTTGGAGGTTTGTTTTCGAACCGCACACTTGCGCACATGCGTGGTTTCTGTAGGTGCAATCGGGCTACTGTATGCACTTGTTTGGCACTGTATTGGCACGGCAAAACTCAGTTTGCGCAATTCCGGCTTGCGAATCACAACTTGTTCACTACGGAGACAGCCAGCTAGCTCGTTAGGTAACCCAAAAACAAACAATCATGCTAACCATCAAACTGGAGAACTAGCAAGCAAGCTACGTGAACAGCGATTTGTCGAGCTGACAAGCCAATCCGCAAAGCTAGCTAGTTACTTAGCTTTGAGCAAACTAGCGAACTACCTAATTTAGCTAGCTAGCCAACTAGCGAACAAGCTAAGTAGCTAGCTACCCCAATCTAGTAAGAGAGCCTTAGTTGAACAGCAAATAGCTGCTCGCTACCTAGAATTAGCCGCAGTTTTGCAGCTCTGGATGGAAAGCTTGAAGAGCGTTAACGCGCATCACAAGGAGCCATGTCCTACAGAAACATGGCTCGCATTTTGGCGTAGTGTGGCTCTGACATTCAACTGTTCGTTGACATCACTTTCGCAGCTGAGCTTCCTGTGGTTATGCTATATTAAAACATGCCGGAGCTTTTCGTTCTGAACTCCAATATGTGCTCGTCCTAAAATGGGGGCTACGAAAAGGGGATAATTCGCTTTCCTTTGGCTTGCTTTCCACCAGCCATCACAGCATGTCCCGCTTGGCAGCTTGGTAACCACTGCACAAGCCAGCCCTTGGTGTTTGTTCGATGGTGGAATGCCTTAACTTCTTTTTTTTGAAGAAGTGCTACGCCGTTGCGCCTGGGGGCCCTTGGCAACAGGACCCATGCCAAGGTCAAGGGGCTTCGGCTTTGTGACCTTTGCCGAGAGCTCCTCGGTGGAGGCAAGGGACCTGTGAATGGGGGCTTTGGGGCGCCCAAGGCACACCCAAACTGAGCTCTTTTTGGATTGGGTTGTAGAACTAGCTACTTGGAGAGAATACTGAAGGGATAGCTGTTTCCAATGTATCCAGCCTGTTCCAGACGCAGAAGGGGTAACATATGAGAGACTTGTAAGTGCGGGGTAGCTGGGGTTCACAGTTTGAGCCTTGTTGCAGGCACACGTGGGGGCCCAGGACTTTTCTACTCCGCGCTAAGCACTTGGAGTTGATCTCACTGTGACCGGAGCAGCGCAATGCAACGAAATGGAAAAAGAACAAGTCCTGGCTGGTTTCCTGCTTGAACTCATCACACCGCATCCGAAGCGAATCTAAATGACATCATTTGACTACCGAGTTCGAGTTGGTACCACTTGTTTGGTTGATGTGAAGGGGAAATCAAAGGGACGAACACGTGTTCAGGTTCCAAAACCATGTTTAGGTAGGACCCCCATACCACATGTGTTCAGGATGTTTGTGGCTCTGAAACCATCGCTGAAACACAATTTCATCAAGCTCTGAGACCCTTAGCCTCCGGGCAGCTCGCCTCAGTCTTTGGGGTTGGCATGGCATCAAAAGTCGGCCGGAACCCGCAAGTTGGGTGGCGCAAAGTGGCGCCCCGAAACGGTGCTAAAGTTTTAATCGAACATGTTGAGTCGGCCATCCGTTCGCAAACAGCTGGAGACAGTTGCATAGAGGGAGTGCTGTGGGGGTAGTGACGGGAACACAGCACGAAATGCCATAGCTACGTGTACACGGTGTATAGCTACGTATTACCAGGGTCATGCTTGGTGGATTGTTGCTGGCACCGAGTCTCGGTCTTCTGCTGCTTGCAATGACGCCTAACGACATTTTGGATGCGCAACCAAGTTAACATAGCCTATTTCTTCCTGGGTGAACAGTATCTTAGATTCGTTGAAGGTCTGAGTGTTCAACTGCCAGCCATTTTCAGAAGGCTTGCATGGACAACTACGACTCCAATGAGCTGGAGGGCAAGTGGATCGAGGCGCCTTGCAATACGACGGGACGTGTCGCTTGTGTCACTGGGCAAACCGAAGGCGCAGGCCGCATACTTATGTTGCGCTATCCGTGTTGCTTGCCCAGGTTTGTCGCTGAGCAGGTGCCACCAGACGGACCCTTGGGTGAAGGGGGCTGCTCGCAAACCATGTCCATCATCTCTTGACCAGGACACGCACTGTTCGATTGTGAGAAGGATGACCCACATACTTGTTGGGTTGGCACATGTCATGACAGCGCCGGGTCATGGTTCTGGAACATTGGGCTTTAGGGCCACTTGCCATGAGTGGCCTACGGAATGATCAAAGTGATAGAGTCGCAGGGGGAGGTAGAAGTCCCGTGTGGTTCTCACAGGCAAGCCATTGCTTCGCCAATGCGGTGATTCACGGCAAGCTCAGCCATTGAAACCCGGAAAACCGCAACTCAGTGTGACAGTCCCAATAGGCGTGGCAAGAGCTCCTTGGGTCCTTCTATGTTTGCCTTGTTTTTGGTCCCCGTTCCATTTCCGGGAATTTTCTGAGGGGCATCAGCGCGAAGTAGCTCGGATTGGGCCTTGCGGAGCGCGCCTTCAGCCGCATCGAGCTTGGCGCAGGTCAAGCGGTGCATTCCCCAGGCCCGGGATTTGCCGGGATTTGGGATTTGAAACCCTGCCCTTTGGCTGGTGAATTGAACTTCACCCATGCCTAGTTGGCGGTTTGGGGACTTCAACCTCCAGTTCTTCTTGGATATGAACCCCCCAATTTACCCAGAGCCATCCATTGACCCTTCAAAGGAAAACCTCATCGAGGATGTTAAAAGCATTACAACGCAGCAGGCTTGAACAGGTGCATACCTCTTTTTGCCTAAAAGAGAGAAGCGCCCAGGGCATGTTTTTGCAGAATGTTGGTGGCTAGAAAGTTCAATGGGGATCACACTTGCGGGTGGAGATAAATCCCCAGGGAAATATTGTCTAAGAAAGTGATCCCAATCAAGATTCATAGCCTGTGTGCGAAGAGGTGGCCCACTGTTTGGACAAGTGAGGCCAGGGCAGTATCTTGCGAGGCTGCACACTCTTCTGTGGTGGCTTGATGATCTAGCAAACTGCGCAGCCATGCCTTATTTTTTAGTTTGGTATCTCCGTTGGGTGCCAGTGTATTTTGTTTGGTAATATTCATGTCGGCTTCCCACAGGATGGATATGCATCCTGGTGCATCATCATTTGCGTGGCACGCCACGAAATGTTCCCGTCTCCATTCAGGCGCGGTCAGCCCCTTGAGTACTCGAGCCGCTCAGCCGCTGTTTTTGAGTTGCTTGTGTGGGAATATGGCAGATACACCCCCTAGTTTCCTGAAAGAACATGGATTGGACACCTTGTTCAATCCATGGGCTTTTGACACGGGGAATACAGGAACCCGCCATGACCCACCAGAATGCTGTAGGTCACGAAGGGAACCTGCAAGCCTCGCTTGCTCTTTTGGCTTGTGTTGGGAAAACGCAAAGGACACCTGTGGCGCATCGTGGCGCATCGTGGATCCAATCCTGTGAACATGGGGTCTCCCATTGTGCCAGCTACTTTGGGGTCGTCCCCCTAGGCCAGAGGTCTGAACACTCCGCATCATGCGCAAACCACAAGTTCCCCACCGCAGAGGACAAGATGGCGCCTGGGAGCAGCAGCAAAGGCGTGAGAAGCTGTCGGCAGTGGTCACTTTGAAAGAAGAAGGAGCGTAAAGTTTCCCTAGGGTTGACCATGGAATTCTAATCAAGCCTGTGAACTCTCAGGGCTTAGTACCTTCCTTTCAGTGATGCTGGGTAGCCCCCACGTGCTTCCGTGAGATCATGATTGCAAGCATAGCCACCACTTCGTCTTGGCTCCTGTGAAAACATGCAGTCAGGCCAAGTTTCGCCGGCCCCTGAAGGAACATGATTCCAGTGCTGGCACAGAGCACCCATGCGGTCAAACACACCCACCCGCTCTCTCGCCCGCCCGTCCACCCACCCACCCACCCACGCACAGAAACATTTTGACATATGGTGGTCATGGTAGGTTGCCCAAAATATTGGGCCTCTTTTAGGGACTTCTGGACACTTTGGGCGACTGGGCCATCTTGGCAACGGGCAACAACACAACCAAACACCGCACCAGGCAAGGGCAAGTCCAAGGCTCCTTATGGCCATGGCCCTAGTTTCGGGGCACATGGCCTTGTTGGGTTCTTCTCGGCTTTCCTTTGGCTCCCTTTGAAGAACCCCTAAACTGAGGGAACGTCTTTTGAATGGCTTGGCCGTTGCTGTTCGAAACCCTAAGGGTTGTTATGGATCCAGCAGTCCATCCAAGTTGTGTTGAAAGCAAGCTGGCGATGCAAACCTGTTTTGCACAGTCAACCACACCACAAAGTCTCCCTAGAGTCAGCCGGCGCAGGACACGCCGTTTTCATTTCTTGCCGCTGAAAGACGCCCCTCCCAGCCAGAAGTGCAGCCCTCTTTTGGGAAGAGGAACAGTCTGAAAGCGGGACTTACCCTAGCGGGTAGACTTTGGATGACTTTTGACTGATAGAATGTATGTCTCATGGTTCAGGCTTCGCTATACTTCCCTTGTAGGTTTGAATATTACCTTCTGGGCCTTCACAAATCTTGTGTGTGTCCCTGTCTGAAATCCTTGGCGTTGCCCGCTTCGGCCAGCCACCCTCGCTGATCATCGCTCACACACACACATGAGTCGAGGGGCTTGAGTCGGGGGCATATGGGCTATTACGGCAATGGACCTGCACTTCTGGAACACAGCCGGGATGATCGGAGCTTGGAACCGCGCTCGTTTCAGCATGGGTGCGACGTCAGCTGGGCGTGAGATTGCGGCTAGGAAGGCATTGGCTCGGTTGTTGGGCCGTGAAGTCAGCTGGGGCGGGGGGCTTCTGTGAGGCCTGGCTTGGGCTGAGGCAAAGGTCAGCCAGGGCAAAGGTAAGGGCTGGGGCTGGGCTCGTTTTGGCACTGAACTGTAAAACAAGCGGTGAACCGCCACATCCGCTTCAGAGCTCAGTTGGAGGGGTGGTACCCTTCTCCAAAGCCAGGAACACTCCTGCACCCACTGAAATCCGCACCGGCAAAGCAACATTGGGGTTGGGCGACATGGGTTGAGAGGCGGTATTCTCTACAGAAGAGAGGTGTTGAAAACGACCTTTTTTTTATTGGAAATCAGGAGGATTTATGATTATTGCAATGTCTTCACACCTTTGGCGTGCTGGCACTTGAGGCGGAGGTCCGCCAGGCTGGTTGCGCCTCTCGTGACAAGAGGTTTCACGTTGGCGCTGCCCTCGTTGCATGTGAGGCACTTACATGACGCTTTTTGGCTAAGCCCCAAGACTGACTTCTCCCCCAGATCTGCGCGCAACCCTACATGGCCCTTGCCACCCTTGCCGCCCTTGCCGCCCTTGCCACTTCTGTGTTAGTTGACCTTACGTCATCACCCGCAAAATGCGCTGAACAAAGCGGTGCCTTCTTGCCGGCTGATTACACCCACTTGAAGCGAAGCTTTATGTTGGATTATTGTAGCACCGGGTTTACGCCACCCCTCTCTTTAGACATTCATCACACAAACCCAGCTTGGTGAGGCCTAGGTTTCGACGGGGTCCTCACATGCCGCTGCAGCACTGCTAGTGGTTTAAAGCTATGGCTGTGTGTGTGTGTGTTTAATTGTGTGTGTGTGTGTGTTTTATGTATGTTTCCTTGTTTGTTTGTTTGTTTGCTTGTTTGTTTGTTTGTTTGCCTGTTTAATTGTTTGTTGGGTTGGTTGCTTGGTTGCTTTCTTGTTTGGTTGGGTTGGTTGGTTGGCCTTGTTTTGCTTTGCTTGGCTTTGTTTGTTCCCTGTTTGATTTTATGGTTATGTCTATGCAAAAGATCGCGCTTTTTCCAGCGCTTGAGCCAATGGCCGTCGCCATTGAATGGTTCCGTGTGCATCATGTTTCTGTTGAACATGCACACTCCCCCTGCAGCCTTCGGCTGCATTCAAACTTCTTCCCATTCAGAAGAAGAAACTGAAAATTCCTCCGCCAAATCCCCAGCACCATCTGCCACCGGAAGACTTGATGGAGTCCTAGGTTTTGCTTCCATAGTGCTCGCCCGTGTAGTAGTCCTCCCTCGTCCGCCAGCCTTCGCCTTTGGAAATGTGACTACGGGGCCAGCATCTTTCCCACGCTCCTCTGGGCCTCCTCGCGCATAGCCTCCGGATCCAACTTGGTCCCCAGAGCCCCTTGGGCTAGGATCAATGCCCCTCGAAGCGATTCCACGGTCCTTTACGGACGACCAGCCGGAATTCCTCTCCTTCCTGACCTTGATCTGGAAGAAAGTGTACCCTCGCCATGGTTGCATTTGCGAGGTTCGTTGTCGCTCCTGATGAGCTGTCCAGCTGTCCTCCTCGACGGACCGGATACCCAAAGGCGATGTGCCCGTGTGTAGCTTCACCGTGATCCTCCTCGACTCCAACCGCGCTGCATCCAGCGGGAACTCTCGATGGATCGGGTGAAACCTGCGTTTCCGAGGTTTGCCATGTGCACGGATTGCCCATCCCGGCTGGGACCAATCCCACTCGTCCTTGTTCTTGTTCTTGAGCATCGGGGGGACCTTGTACTCCTCGAGCTCCCACGGGAGTACTGGCCCATCCTGATGAACGTCTTCTTCTTGATTATCTGACCTCCTCCCCTTCTCCGTCTTCTCCTCAATCTTATTTGCCTGCTTGGCCTCCACATTCGGCTGCTTCGACAACCACCTCAAGGCTCGCAGCCGCGGTCGAACTTCTCGCTGGCTTGGGGCCCTGATATGGGTGTTCCCAATCCTGGGACGGGCTGGTCCCGCATCATCCGGGTTGTTATCATCCCTCGGACTGCGGCTTCGTTCACGCTCACCCGGTAGTGAAGTGATTCCCAGGTCCCGCAAGCTCACATTGCCTCGCAGTGGAGCCACGAATGTCGTAGATCCCGTCCAGGCATCTGCTTCGCGAAAAGCTTCCATCCTCCAATTGTCATTGATCACCCGCCGCCCTCGCTCGAGATCGACGAAAACCAAATTGGTCTGTCGCCGACTTTCCAGCATCGTAGCGTTGACCCCCGGAGGCATGTTCCTCGGATCCGGTTGAAAATCCCGGTTTCTCCTCAGCATATGAATGCGGGTCGCCACGATGAAGTCTCGCTCAAACGTCACCTCCCAAAAGTCCTCAGGCTCCTCATCCTGTGACCCACGAATTGGACCACCAGGTGGTTCAGGCCATGGCTCCCTTGGTGCCTCGATTGGCACCCGACCCTTACCTATTGATGCAGGGCAGCCCGTAGGGCAGTGGTAAAACGGCAAGCGGCAGGGGTCCTCTTGTTTTACCCTCGTCCCTAGCCCATCTTGACGTCGCCGGTTCATGTTCCCTGGCGATCTTCCTCTCTGTCGGTTCATCTTCCCTGACAGAGGGCCTTGCCTTCACCGGTTCATCATCCCTGGTGACAGGCTTCCAAACAGAGGGGTCCCTTGGTGTGGTCGGTTCATCTTCCCTGACCATCTTGGCAATCCTTCCCTCGAAGTTGCCTTGCTGTGCGGCTGGTTCATCATCCCTAGCCGATCTTGATTCCCTCGCAGGTTGGGCCCGATGGCCTTTATACACAAAACCTAACCCAACACCAAGAGCCGCCAAACAAAGCTCCTTCACGGTGTGAGACCGAGGGTCCTGCGGCTTCCAGCAAGCCACAATACCCATGAGCCCACTCAGAGCCGCCACCTTCATGACCGTGTCCTTGGTGAGGCCCTTCTGGGACCCAATGGCTTCTTGGTTCACCATTCCGTCCACCTCCGTTGTGGCCAGGAGCATGCCCGTCATGGCGTAGAACCTGAGCCACTGTGACCTGGAAGCCACCGTCTTCGTGAGGTAGTCTGCGACCAAATCACAACCTGGCAAATGTCGAACCTGCCATTCTCCACCTCTCACTCTTTCTCGCAACACATTGGCACGCAGCCGAAGATGCCGTGTGCGCCACGGCCCATCTGGATTCTGAACGATGGCCAACGCCGCCGTGTTGTCCCCGTATATCACTTTCTCCGTGATTCCTCCACCGTTGTGGCCACCCTCCATGATGTCCAAGACCGCGCAGAGGGAGTCACCCATGATCATGGCCTCGATGTAGCCCACCAGTTCGGCTTCCGCTGTGCTAAGGGTCGCAAACGGCTGGCGGCTGGATTCCCATTGAACCAAGGCGCCACCATAGAAACCGAGAACCCCTTGATGGCTCTTTTCACCCAACGGGGCAAAGGAGATGTCCGCGTACATCTCTAATCTCCTCATTGACCTCGCAAACGGCAAACCGCCATCTGGCCCCCTGTCTCCCTTGCAGCCCCCATACACCAGGCCCAATTCCTTCGTACCGTACAAGTACGCCATCATCTCCATGCCGACCTTGACCACCTCCTGCGGACATCGTGTCACATGTTGCGACATCCAAGAGACTCCGAAGGAAACATCTGGTCTCGTCCGCACCGATAACCATAGCAGCTCACCAACCAATCCCTGAGCCGCCCGAATAGCCTCTGGCGTCATTTGCGGGTTCTCGGGGATCTCCGGCTTGCTGAACGGGACCGGTCGAGCACACTCCACGTTGTGCCTCTTGATCAGCTCCGCGATGTAGGAGGGCTGAGCCACTTGCAGATCTCCATCTCCGTTCCATCTCAACTCCATCCCGCAGAACTTGGTCCAACCTTCATGATGA